TTTTTTTTTTTTTTTTTTTTTGTGAAGAAAAAAAGAAATAAAATACAAAACGAGAGCGATGAGACGTCGTCATCCCGCCTAATTTCCAAAGCAAGGCCGTGCAAAGAGCTCAGGTACATCCGGCACATCCGGCATCGCCAGCTCGGGGCGTCAGCGTGGGCGAGGAAGAGCACGGTCCACAGCATCTCTCCTGCTTCCCAAAGGGCTGACAGAGATGCAGGGAGGGAGGGAGGGAGATCTGCTTCTGCTGCCAGCATTCCGGAGGTGAGGCCCCAGCGTGTCCTGGCACACGGTGGTGCCCGCTGGGTTTGGCTCGGGGAGGGCAGACGGGGGGGGGGGGGGGGGTTTAACTGCACAAAACCTGCCCTTCCAAGGGTCCTTTCCACCCAAGGCCTTTCTGGAGCACGGGGACAGGAGAGGGAATTCCAAATTTATCACTGAACCATCATTTGGGAAAGCCTTTGTGGCAGAAATTTGGTATTTCAAGGTGTAGAGGGGGGGTTTTATCTGGCACGTCTCTCCATGCCCGGAGCCACAAGCAGGGATGTTGGTGAGGAGCAGTACCCAGAACGGCAGCACTGCTGAGCATCCACCACCCTGACCCCTCCACCACATCTCCACACGAAAACAGCTACTAATTTTCACCCAATTTCTGAAGGATTTCCTCTCCGCCTCCAACCACTCCCTTTAGGCCACCCTATTCATTTCAAAATAATCATCCGACTTTTGGTCTTCTTTTTCCAATTTGAAACTTTGTGATAAATGCTTGGTTGGGAAAAGTTTATAAAACCCCATACATTTGCTTCTGGTTTGCCCTCATCCTGGGACATTTTTATGCCATCCACCTCACTGCAATGCTGAGCTGACACCTGGCAGAGGGATCCAGGAGGGGGACAAACCCCACTGTGGCTCAGCTCCTCTCCCTTTGCTCTGTCTCAGGGTAGAGCTGAACCCCAGTCAGCTCCCAGCTCCTCCACAGCCCCCCAAAGCCAGCCGGGCTGCAGCTGGCACAGGTGGCATCCAGGCAGGTTTTGTGCCAGTTTGGGACAGCGAGCCCAGGGGTGAGTGGGGCTGGGGTGTCCCTGCACAGGGTGACAGGGAAGCAGGCTGGGAGGGGGACAGGGGACCAGCATCCCTGAGAGCACCTGTAGGGAGAAAGCCCATCCCTAATGGCTATGCCAGCCAGGAACGGTCCCTTCTCCTCCAAACCCTCCAACCACGAGTAGGGTGATGCACTTTGGGATCAGGGTGCTGACACCCATCCCTGGGAAACTGCCAGATCAAGTGGCAACATGAGGAAATTCCTCGTTTTTTCCTTTTTCCTTCCACTAAGTCACTGCTCAAGGTTCAAGCAGATTTTCTGCACAGCTCACCGTTGCCTTTTGAGGCCTAGAAACCTTCAGGCAAAATCTCATTAGGATCATTACTTCAGTTGCATCTTTCAATAAAAAAATTGTTTCTTCCCATTTTCCTGATTTAAAGCTTTGGCCGATGCACAATGGAAAAGCATTTTTTAAATGCTTTTATGGATGTTATTTGCTAAAATCCACAATTTGCTCTTAAACCACCACCAAACCATCCCCTCTCTTAAAACCAGCACTAAACTATCCTCTCTCCACACACCTGCTGTGCCCAGGGCGAGGTGAGGCATTCCTGGGGAATGGGAACTCCAATGTTCCAATGACCCTGGTCAGAAACAGTGGAGTTCCCTGCTCTGGTAGGAAGGATGCTGTCTGCATCCACTTGTCATGCAAACAGGATTAAGCCTTAAAAATCTGCCTCTTAGTCTCCTGATGCAGCTTTCCAGGATCCAGGAGCCTCAAGCAGGCTGTGGATGTGGCTGCATCCTGTTTCATATCACAGCTGAGCTCTCGGAGCCGCCCTCTACCTCCCTTCCCAGCTAGTTTAGGAAAACCCTTCTGGAGGAAAAGCAGTGCCTACCGAAGCCCTCCGAGCCTCCAGAGAGCCGGCTCATGTCTGAACTGCCCCTCCCTGCACACGGACCCGGGAACACCCGGGAATGGCCGGGATTTTGGGGGTGCTCTATGCCCTGTCCGCCCCCAGAGCCCATCCTGCTGCAGGTGCTCTGCTTTGGGGATACAGTCCCACTTCCCAGTGGGCACCGAGTGCCCAGCCCTCCCGCCCGCGGGGGAGCATTGCCAGGGGCTGCTGTTTTTGGGGAGGACAGGGATATCCCATTCCAGCCCCCCATTCCCACACGCCCGGCCGTTCCCGAGCTCGCCGTATGTACTGCATGCGTCGCCTGCTGCGCTAGAATGAATGCCTACAAAATCCTAAAGCTATTTCTCAGGCAGTTTATGATAATTTCCCCCCTCCTCCCAGCCCCCTCCCCACGGCCCTGCTGGAGCTCCCAGGGACGGCAGGACCCCGTTATGTGACCCAGGTATCCAACCGCATGCGCTTCACGGACGGGCTCTCGCCCTCGGGCTCGCTGGTGGCTCGCAGGAGCCCCAGGGAGGAGCCGAAATCGGGGCGGGCGGGATCGTCCCGCTCACTGCTGCCCTCGTAGGAGCTGGTGTTGCTGCTGAGGCTGTCGACGGGCGAGCGGCCGGTGGGCTCATGCCGGGGCTGGTGGGGGAAGGTGCTGAGCGGGGTGGCAGTGTTCCTCTCGCGGTTGGGTGACACGGGCTCCGACTTGATGCTGATGTTGGGGTTGGTGTTGACAGTCAAAGTGGTGGTGTGGGACAAGTGACTCCCTTGTCTGGGCATCCGGAAGGTGGGGGGAAGAGGTTGGGAGAGGAGGAGGAGGAGGAGGACAGCAGAAGGGGAGGAAGGGGGAGGAAAAAGATGGTGGAGGAGATAATGGGAAATCTCTCATTATTATCTTTTCGGTGGCCTCTTACCCTCCAGTGCACAGAAATCAGAACCTGCACACACTGCAGCTGAATGAACCCATGATTATAAACTTGGACTGTATCATTAATCTGGATTAATAAACAGAATTACGACTTTAGAATCAGAACTGTGACTCCGGAATTCATTATCGTGCAGTCACCAGAGCACATCACCACGGAGCTGGGATCAGACCCTATGGGCAGCATCTCTTCTCTCCCAGCACCCCATGATCCAGCCCCAATCCCACCCACTGTCCCTCAGCAGTGATCCAAATGCATGGAGGGAAGGGACAGGCTGTGACACCCCTGTCCCATGGCTGTCCCTACAGCTCTGCCCCAGCATCCTTGTGGATGATCCAGCACAGCACAGGGCTCAGCCAGGTGGTTTTGCTCAAAACTGGGAACCTTCTCAACCTCTACTACAACACAAAATTTTGTCCAGGCTTTCCACACATCCTGTGGCCCCACTGGTGCACGAGGCCCAGGCAGCTACTGAGGAAGCTGCTGCCTGCCCTGCCTGGAAAACATTCACCTGGCAGTGAGGGAACACTGAACTCCTACACAGAAACCTGGCCTATCCATCCACCCCTCCATCCCTTCCTCTAACTATCCATCTATCCCACCCCTTCATCTGTCCATCTATCCTTACAGTCCCCTATTCATCCCCTCTCCATCCATCCATCCATCCATCCATCCATCCATCCATCCATCCATCCATCCATCCATCTGGCATTTCATGGTGAAAATGTCAGTGTGTTTGACTCAGTGGCTGGGGCAATCATTGATCCCCCCTCTTCAATTCCTGCCTCTCTTTGTCCCATAGTCTCAATGTGATCATGGGCAAGTGGCTTAAATCTTTATGCTGACTGTGTAAATCTGTGTGTGAATGCTTTATTCCAGACTAAAAGCAGATCCACTTCAAAAATCCTGCTCTAATATTCAAGTGCTTGTATTTTCTGCCCTGGAGAAAAGCAATCCCTTTGCAATACTAAAAGCCATCTCCTATACCAGCAGGGCACAGTCCCAGGCACCTTGTCCTGCAATGTCCATCCCATCTAACACTGCCTCTGGCTGGTTCCCTCGGGTGAGTGATCGATCCCACTGTGGACAGGCAGCAGGACAAGGCTCCTGGAGCATCTCCGAGTACCCTGATCTCAGCCAGGGACTCTGGGTCACTCCTACAGTGACAGGGACAGGACTCCCCAAACTTCCCAAGCCAGCTGTGCTCCTGCAGCTGTGCGTGGGCACACAGCTCCTACCCCCTGGGAACACAGCGTGCACCCACCAGGGCCTCATACTGGGGGTCTGGAGAAGCCAGGGAGTAGTCAGGGCTGGGGGCTCTGCAGGTTTGGCACCCTCAGAGGAACTCCCCACTTCCCTCTCGTGTCACTTACATTAAATTTCCTAGTGACACCGGGACCAGGTGCTGCTGCTGCGGCTGCTGCTGTGCCTGTTGCTGTTGCTGCTGCTGTTGTTGCTGTTGCTGCTGCTGCTGCTGTTGCTGCTGTTGCTGCTGCTGCTGCTGCTGTTGCTGCTGCTGCTGCTGCCAGGCAGCCCTCCAGGTGAGCTGAACGCTGGCAGCGAGGACAGCTCAGCACTTGTCAGCTGATAATCTGGGAGGGAAAGAGCCCTGCAGTCATTTCAATGTCAAACCTGCCCCCACAGTGCCCCGAGCACTGAGAGGATAGAGCCCCACAAGAGACACAAATAAACAGTATGTATGTGAACATCAGCTCGTGCTGCGAGTGGCACAGGGATGCTGGCCAGGGGACACACCTCGTGCCTGTGGAATGGCTTGTGCTGCAGTCACAGAATCAATTGGGTTGGAAAAGACCTCCGAGATCCAGTCCAACCTATGACCAAACACTACATCCACTAAGTGCCACCGAAGGGACACTTAAAGGACATCTAGTCCAACATTCAGGGACACCTTCCACTATCCCAGGTTGCTCCAAGCCTCACCCAACAGGGCCATGGACACTTCCAGGGATGGGGCAGCCACAGCTTCTCTGGGCAGCTTTTGCCAGCACCTCACCACCCTGAGTGCAAACAAATTCCTCCTGATATCCAGCTGTCTTCCACCCTCAAGGCATGAGCTGCTGGCAGGACCTCCACACCCCACAACACCCCCAGTGCCCCTGCCCCTCGTGCACAGCAGTGGCCAGGGGAGCCCCATGATGCAGCCATGTCTGGCTCCCCCCAGGAAGGGCCATGAGCATATGAGACCCCCAGAGCCACCTCCAGCCAGGTGCAGAGTGCACAGACACACTTCCTCCCCTCCCGGGGCAGCAAACCCTGGAAGCTGACACCCATCTGTACCTGGGGTGTGCCTGGGGCATCCTCACCTGTACCTGGGGTGTGCCTGGGGCATCCTCACCTGCACCTGGGCTGTACCTGGGACAGCCCCACCCATGCCTGGGACAGCCCCACACTCGCAGTGTCCCGAGTGGCAGCAGGGGGCGCTCCCTGCCCGCCATGGGGACACGGAGCTGTCACCGTGTCCCCCCCTCCACGGGCACCCCACACCCTGAGAACCCCTGCCCACAGCAGCCATTGTTCACACCCCCCCGGTACCCTCCCCTCCCACTTGCAGGGCAATGCTTTCCCCATGCAGAACCTCGGGAGCATCGACAATCCCGCTGGGACACCTCAAACCAGGTGGGAATTTTATTTTTATAAAGGGTGTGAATGCTGGCAGAAAAAGCCAGGGAGGAAAGCGCTGCTCCTTCAGGAGATGGTCAAACCTTGGTCAGCCATGTCAGCCTGACACAGACACCCATCAAACCCTCCTCTCACCTTCTCCTCCCCCTTTCTCTCTCTAATTTTGGGTGTCTTGTGGTTTCAGCTGTCCCCACCCCAGCAGCACACACAGAGGTGGCTGTGCTGGTGCTGAACTGCTGCCAACGCCACTGGCGGATCCCGGCACGCCCCACCCAATATCCTGGCAGCGAGCTCCCTGCTCCACACCATCCTCCACCCCTGCACCGGCTCTTCTGGTTTGGGAGCTCCTGACACTCACTGGGGATGGTGGCTGCCCCTGCAGCCCCCAGCAGGGCTTGAGCTGGAGCTGCCCTGGATCACAGAGCTGGGAATGGTCAGGTTTGACTGAATCCGGCAGCGGAGGCAGCACAGGAAAGGGCACACAGGCACATAACCGTGGCCAGAGGGCAGCTCAGCACAACTGCACCAGCCTGAAATCCAGGCAGTATCCACCCAATTAACAGGTGAGTCCTGGGAAGAACAAGTGGCAATGCTCCAAGCTGGGACTTTGCTCAGGGCATCTGCACCCCTCCACCACCTATGCAAAGATCATCTCTGCAGCATCAGAGAATCACAGAATTAATTATGTTGGAAAGGCTGTCCAAGAGTCCAATTGTTCCCCCAGCACTGTCAAGGCCAGCACTAACCCATGTCCCCAGGTGTCAGAGCCATGTCTGCTAAATCCCTCCAGGCATAGTGACACCACCACTGCCCTGAACACTCTGTTCCAAAGCCTGAACACCTTTTCCACATAGAAATGTTCCCTAATATCCCATCTAAACCTCCCCTGGCACACCCTGGAGCTGTTTCCTCTTGTCCTGCCCTTTGTTACCTGGGAGCAGAGGCCAACCCCACCTGGCTGCCCCCTCCTGTCAGGGAGTTGTGGAGAGTGAGAAGGTCCCCCCGAGCCTCCTTTTCTCCAGGCTGAATGCCCTCAGCTCCTCGTGCTCCAGACCCTTCACAAATCAAGACAATTCCTATCCAATTACCAGGGCAGCTCTGGTAGAACTGCCAGGTTCAGAGTTTGCACCCTACAGCAAAGGTGTCCCCCATGCTCACCCCCAGAGCAAACACCTCAGAACAGACACCACGGGCACTTGGGCAGGAACACGGCTCCACCCATGGTCAGCTGTGAGAAAAAAATAACTACACAGAGCTGAAATTCAGGCCCCTGTGCCCTGAGCAGCGGGACAGGGCTCAATTAAAACCTATTTTGGGGACTCTGGCTGTGCCCAGCCTGGCTGGTAAACCGCACGGTCACGCAGGGAGAGGAGCCTCATCACACACAACCAGCATCTTTGGGGCTACACCTACTAATTAGGAGAGGGAGTTTCCAACATGCCAGTTCCGGGTTCTTCCAGACAAGCAGCTTTTTACATTTTTGCAAACTTTTCTCTAAGCCAGAACAAGTTACACAGGCAGGCAGCAAGTCCCCAAAGTCTTGGTGGAGGTCTGACAGGTGGCAGATGAACAAGCCTTCTGCTTGGGCAAGTGCACTGTCACTGTCGCCTCAGGCTGATTTCAACCCACCAGCCCAAATCAGATGTGCCTGTGAGCAGGCTGGTTTGCATTCTTCCCAAACTTTTGGGGGGCCTACGCCTGTTGTCATGATTACAACATCCCTTAAGCTCTGAGAGCTCGGGGATGGGTGTAGCTGTAATTAGCATCCAACTGCACAGTGCAATGGGCTACATCAGCCCTCACAGCCCTTCTGGCTATGACAATGAGCTCTCACCACTTATATAATGAGTTTCCCCTTGATTTTAATCCTGTGGAACCCTTGGACTCAAACACGTCTTGCAGCGGTGAGTTCCACTGCAGCTGCTGGGGGAGCACCAGGCACGTTCCTGCAGCAGCACATCTCCCCCCTGTGTTACCTGACCCACCCCAGAGCTCTGCCCTGGCCAGGCCTTACCTGTGTTGTATGCTGTGGGCATGGCTGAGAAGGGCAGCCCCTGCGTCAGCAAACTCGGAGTCGCCACAGAAACAACTGGTGTGGTCAGAGAGTGAGTTGCTTGAGAGACACCCAACCTCTGTGTGTTTTGCTGTGGGAGCAAACAGGGAAGGAGTTAAAGCCCAGATGGTTTGACTTGGTCGTTTCTATGGGTTGTGGCCCCCCTAAACCCCCTGGGCATGCACTGGGACTGAGCATGGAGACCGTGAGACAGGCAAGATTGATCCTCTGGCCATTGCACACTGCAAAAAAGCAAAGTACAAACCACACCAGCTACTGACACTTTGGACCTTGCAACACCCCCCAGGTCACGGCCCTGAGTCCCCTTCCTGCCCAGGGCTGGGCTTCACCCACCAGCACCAGCCATGTCCCTGTGTGCATGGAGGGGGAATATCAGCAGGATGCCTCAGACAATTCCTCACTGCTTTCCAGAGGTTGCATGTGAGGCTTGCTGAGTTTCCAAGGAGTGACAAACAGACCAAAGCAAACCAAGACCGGCCGAGGCAGCACAGAGCTGACATCTCCCTGCAGCTCCAGTGGCCAAGAACAAGTCCCTGCCTCAAGGGAAGCTGAGCATGCCTCAGGATTTTAAAGGGACTCACATCCCAAAACTCAAAGTCTAGTGCTTGGTGCCCTCACAAGGATTTGGTGACTCAGGTATTAACAGGTCCACTGTGGAAAAATTCTGCCCTTGGACCAGTGCTCACCAACCTCCCCCCATGGTTTTCCAGGCAGTTACGTGGGCGGATCTATAGGTCAGATTCAGCCCTGTTTACAAGGCAGATAATCTGGGCTGTCTCTGCTGATCTGATTTAAATCAGACTCAAGAGGCTTGACTCTAATCCGAAGCACCCCAGCACACGTCACCCTGTGAAGACTGGGGCAGTGCCCAGCTTAAATCATGCCTGGCACGAGGCTGGCTGGGACACACTGAGCAGCCTTCCTGTGCAACTGAGGGCTCCCAGGGCCCTGCAGGGCTGGGCACAGACTCTGCAGTGCTTCCCCATGGCCGGGGAGACTCCCCTGGGACAAGGCTGGAGGCTAAAACCCTGCCCTGGCCACCTCCAGAGGGTCAGAGCACCTGGCTGTGCAGGATTTGCTCACCCTGCGCCCACACACTGCCCAGCCCAGGTCCCTCCTGTGGCCTGGGGAAGGAGATTACCAGGGCTCTAATTGCTAAAGCTCGGGGGGGCTGTAGGAGCAGCTTCTGCTGGCACGCATCCTGCTGGCAGCCACCCTCGCCTGTGCCCACTGCTGTGGGTTAAGGACATGGCAAGGAATGTCTTCACTGAAGGCAAGACACTGCACAAGACCCTGAGCCAGCCCAGTGGGATGCAGCCCCCACAGACCCATCCCTTCTGCCCCTCTCTGCAGGGCTCTGCAGCTTTCCTGGGAGAGCACAGGCACAGGGACGAGGGTGGCCATGCCACAGGGCAGGGCTGGTGACACACCAGCTGGGCAGGGTTTGCCAGCCCCAGGAAACTCCTTGACACCACAAGACGAGCGTGGGGATGTCAGCCCCAGCTGCCCTGGGGGAAGCACCCCAATTTTCACCACAATCCATGCAGGGAGGAGGTGTGCAAGCTGCCCCCCACATCGTGCCACTCACACCCTGTGCCCACAGACGTGGCTCCCAGTTGCCATTCCAGATGGTAACACACCATGCAGCATGCTCCCAGGAAATGGACCCTGCTGCCCCTGGCGTGTTAGGAGTGTGGAGGGAAATGGGGGGGACACCTCTCTGAGCCCCCTAAGGGAGGAGAGCACGCTCAGAGCTGCAGGAGCAGCGCCAAGGGTGGCAGGGCTGGGGCTGTGGGCAGTGGGGAAGCAGCCGAGGGGCTGCTGACTCATCTCACAGCTGCCTGCAAAGAGGTGGGAGCTGCCATTTGGAGAGAGGATCTGGTGTGTAGGTTGAGCAATATGGAGGGAGCAAATCTGAGGAGAAGGTTAGCGGAGCAGGGGAGCATCTGCACCAGGCGGGAGGGATCTGCAGGGACAACACTCTGCAGTCCCCTTCCTGATCCAGCAGTGCCAAGGTCTCTGTCCCTCCCTGCCCACATTTCATCACCCTCCACCCCCCTGCTGCCACCTTGGCTGGGGCGAGGATGTTTTTCACTTCAGGCAAAAACCCACCAGGTTAATTCAGACCAACAATTAAAACTGCAAATCCCAGTGGATTTTTACCTAATGCTGCTTCAGTGTGTAGTTAGGGAATGCCCCGGGCAGTGGGATCAGGAATGAGCAGTTGGGGAGGTGGGGAGTGGCTGATCTCCCTCCACACATGGGGAAACTGAGGCACAGAGATGCTGGAAGGGGACCACTAAGCAAGAAGGGTTTGGGGACACGAAGAGCAGCAGAATTCATGTCTGCCAAAGCTCTGGCCCATCCTTGCCCTGGCCAAGAGTGTCTCTGTGCCAGAGGGATTGGCTTTCTCCTGTGTTTTTGGAGAGCTTTTCCCTGGCTGTGTGAGCTGCATCCCGCAGCAGCTCCCGCCCTTCCCTTGCTGTGCTGACCTGTCACCCATCTGCCCTGCACCAGAATAGCAACGGAGCAGAGTGAATCCTTGCCACAAACAAGGTGGCATTCACTTTGCTGGCAGGGAAAGGAAAAAAATACATAAAAATAACACAGAGAACTGCCCCATGCACAAGGGAGGTTTAGGGAGTGCACTAGCCAGCCAGTGGATTTACACAGGCTTTAAATAATATCTTTAATATGGGAAGAGCTTGATTTACTCCCTATCTCTCATGTGCTGGCAATGGGCCAGGTCTTCCTGTGCTGTAGCTGTGGTGGCTCCAGCGAAGCACCATGGGCAGGTCCAGGACAGTGGCAGTGCCCAGCCCAGCTCCACAGTCCCCAAAGAGACCCTGGCTGACCTCCCCAGGGGGACTAACACAGCAATTTTGGCCGTGGTGGAGAAGCAGGCTCTTTGTCAGCTCCTTTTCCATAGGGAACCTGGTTCTCCTAAACGTGTGTTTGTTTGGGATTTATTTTCTGCAGCAGGACTGGATATAACCCTGGTGCCCACATCCCGCCGCATTCCCAACACAGGGAGCCAGTGTCCACCCCCTCTGTGTGCCCCATGCCTCGCCAAGCCAGGGCAGGACCAAGGGGACAAGCAGCCCATGTCCCACCACACCGCCATGCAGGGAACTCACCAGAGCCAAGTGGTCCTCGGTCTGTCCGTGGGAGAACAGGGAGAGAACCGAGAGGCACCGTTAACTCAAGCCCCCCATCCCCGCCACGATGTGCCCGCTGGGGGCACACACAGCTTGGAGTGCTGCCTGCTACAGGCTTTGCCCCATCCAGGATGGTGCAGGCAGGAATCCAAGCCCCTTCCTTCTCGGATCTCCCCTCCGGCACGGCCCCAGCCAGCTCCCACCACCACAGCACCGAACTGCCCTGCGGGCTGTGTGCTGGCAGGGCACCCAGTCCCAGCCCAGCTGGTGGCCCACAGAGCTGCAGGCACTCACCAGGTGATGCATGAGCCCCTTCCCGCTCTGTGAGGTGATCACACGCAGGTCTGGCTTGCGGCTGTTGGCGGCGAGCTGCGTGCCGTGAGAGGGTGGTGGTGGGGACTTGGCCGGGATGATCTTGCCCAGGCTGCTGCCATTGGACACGGGAAGGAGACCTGGAGAGGCTCTGGCACTCACGTAGCCATTTCCTGCAGGAACACGGGTGACAGAGAGGAAGGAGGTGAAGGCACGGTGACAGCTGGATGCATGGCAATGGTGAATGCAGAGTGGTGAACACAGAGCAATGGTGAATGCCTGGTGATGAATGGTGAATGCATAGCTGTGCTAAACACATCCATGGAGAGCGGTGCTGCAGTGGAGCTCCATGAGTGCTCCTCCTTGTGGGAGAGCAGCACTGTACTCCCCCCAGGCTCCCCAAAACCCCCCTGCACCCCAGCAGACTCACCCTGCGGGGTGAAGCCAGGACAGGCAGCAGTCCTGAGCCCACAGTGCTCAGGGCAGCTCCTTAACCTGCAGGGATTCCCCCTTGTTCCTGCAGTAACACCCAGCAAATCTCAGAGCCTGATCTGCAGCCAGGCTCTTTCCCTGCTTTGGCCGGGCACTGCAGCCCTACCAAGACGGGTAATTACTGGCACATTCACTTTTAAGGTCTCTTTATGGTACTGGGGCAGTGAAAAGGGGCTGTGGTAGAGTGAGGACTCAGTTCACTGCTCCCACTGCCCCTTTGAAGATCTAAGGTTCCCTCCTCCTCCTCCTCCTGCTGCCCCACTTAAGGATTTTATGTGCAAGGAGAGGGGAAAAAAAAAGAAGAAAGGAAAGGAAGAAAAAAAATAAAAAGGAAAAGATTTGATGAACATCAGGAAAGGAATAAATTGGATCAGATTACTGTTCTGATGAGGGTTGGTTTTTTTTCATGAATAGGCCCCAAAGATAGAAAGGCGTTCAGCAATCACCAGGATTCAGCCCTCATATTCATTGCACGTTAGACCAGGAAAAATAGGTCGCTGATTGCATTATTAATCACATCTACCATTGCGCTGCATCTGCATTTCAGCAGGCGGCTGGTGGCAGTGACGCTGCAGCGTGTGGGGGCCGAGTGCCAGCCCCTGCCTCCCCAGAGCTGTCCTGGCCTGGACACCCAGGGATGGGCTCAGCCAGGCACCGGGGGTGGCCACGCTCCCTGGGCACTGATCCCACAGACGGCACCGGGTCGGGAGGTGCTGCCCCAGGGGGTGCCCATCAGGGACACCCATGGTGGCCAGGCTGCTGCAGGCTGGCAATTGTGGCATCCGTGTCCCTGATGGAGGGACAGGACCAGCCTTCCTGTCCCCACAAAGTTATCCCCTCCCCGTCCCAAATCACTGAGAGCAGCGTGCACAAGGCATGTGCCTGGTGCATCAGGCCCTGGCACCTCCATGCACCGTGAGCTGCTGGAATCCTGCTCACAAGGCCACTGGCTTTTAGATTTATTAACAATGAAGGTGCACAAATTCCTCAGGTGACCTTGGCTACCCACAGTGCTGGCGGCCATGGAAAAGCCAAGAGAAATGTTAAACCCTTTGATATTCTCCTTCCCAAGGCACCACCAGCACGGATGCACACAGGGCTCTCCTGGTGACTCCCTGTTTGGGGTACACCATGTTACCTGTGCATCACCTGGGGTGTGGACTGGGGTGGCTCCCTGTGCTGGAGAGGAGCTGGTTTAGGCTCCAGTGCTGCCACTCACCCCCAAAGATGGATGGCCCTGGGCTGTCATTGCTTCTGTCATTGCCACGTCCACCCAGCATGGACCTGGCCACCCCTGTGAGCCAGACAGAGAGGGCTACACTCCCACCAGGACTTCCCAACCAAAAAAAGAGTCTGAAAGAGGAGCACTCTGGCCTGCCTTTGCACCACCCTGGTGTGAATTTGAGTGGGGACAGCCAGGGCTCAGCATCCCCCCATGGCCAGGCGGGGTGGAGGGGGTGCTGCCTCCTTTGGGTGGCACACGCCATGGAGCGTGGGCAGGATGCAGGGATACAGCGACATCGCTGCAGGATCCGGCCACAGGCACCCGCAGCTGATGACTCAGAGGCAGCAGGTGATCACTCAGTGCTGCAGAGACTGCAAGGGAGGAGGAGGAGGAGGAGGAGGAGGACAAGGAGGAGAAGGAGGAGGAAGAGGAGGAGGAAGAGATGTACCAGGTATTTGAAAACTGCAAGCGCAGTGCCAGAGCCACAGTCCCCTCCTGCAGCCACAAGGGGAGCCCCAGGGAGGGCAGGGGGCTGGGGACAGCAGGGGTCCGGGGCTGACCACAGCCAGGCTGTCCCTGCTCCTCACACCCATTTCCTGCAGTGGCAGCAGGAACGCAGGGAATGCTTGGGTGACGTCAATGCTGACATTCAGGGGCCCTGCCAAGCCCTGCACCCTCCATGGCTGCTCCCGACAGCTGCCATGGGGGCGGCTGCAGGGGACTGGGGCCAGGCAGGTGCCTGGGGGCCGTGCCATGATGGCCCCTTCCCTCTGCCCTCAAGGATCTCTGCACTGGGTGCTGTGAGAACCCAGGGAGACGCTGCCCCAACAAACCACCCTGGCAGGTTTTGCTCTGTGCAGAAATCCCTCTGGCACTGGCACGGCTGCTGCCCAGCACCGGGAAATGGCTACTCCTGGCAGTAGCCAGAGTGCAGGGGATGGGGTTGGGTGGCCACGGTGCTTCAGAACCACAACTGGACCAACCCCACCCAAAAACCAGTGAGACCTGGCTCCAGTTTGGTTTCAACTGGGGCAATGTGGAATTCAACGCTCCTCGTCCGTGCTGTCAGCTGGACACTCACTGTAAAAAAGCCCAGAAAGGGTGAGGAGTCAGGCTCCTGGAGCAAGGCTGCCTTTGCCCTGGGATGGATGGCATCTACCCTGCCAAGCCTGGGACCACAGCCAAGCCCAGTGCCGATAGCAGCAGCTGTTTCCCAGCAAGAGCTGGGGCCGTTGCTGGTTTTTGGGCTGTGCCTACACCAGCAGTAGCCCAACATCCTCAGCCTGCAGATAGCAGAGGCAGATGTGGGGATGGCGATATTGTTAGTGCATTTTACAGCTGAGGAGCTGAGCCATGAGGCCTGAGCCTCATTAGCACTGAAGCTCTCACAGTGGAAAGGGCCCTTAATGAGCTTTTTTTCCTTGCAGTAAAGTTCCTTTATAGGGCCCAAGCACGAGGAGAAACTGGGTGTTAATTGATCACCCGAAGATGGTGGAGAACTGGCTATAGCACCAGGAACTAAACCTAGAGCTACCCAAATCCTGGTCTTCAGGGGTCACCTCCCTGATCTGCAGCCCTCCTCTGAGAGAAAGATCCTGAGTAGAGGGAGACTCCTTGGTCACTGGGGTCTCCACTGAAACCAGCAACCCCTACAAAGGCGCTGGCCTGGAGCTCCACATGCCAACCCCTCCCACTGCCAAGAGCAGCAAAACCTTCTCCAGCACTTCCCTATGGACCAGCGGGGCTCAACAGCAAAGCAAAATCCTACGGGACACATGGGGAAACCAAGGGCAGGAATGTCACATAGCTGGGGACACAGGGCTGAAAGGTTCCTTACTTACCCACGGGGCTTGGGCAGGCTCCATTTGTGTTGTTCAGGTCTCCCCCAAGCATCGCCCCTGCAAAGCAAGAGGAGAGATGGGATCACCATCAGTACAGAACCAGGGTGAGCATCCCTGCTTTTGGGGGGCAGGAAGGCAGGGAGCACAGTGGAGAAAGGCAGAGGAAAAAAAGCGGGACTGCATTCCTGGGGAGAAAGTCCTGGGCAAAACGAGCAGCATTCCTGGTGATCAGGTTGGGAAACGTTATCCAGGCAGATCCGTTTCCTTTGGGAAGGAGCCAGGTGCACAGGAGCCTGTTCCAAAGGAGGCAGCTTGGAAAACACTGCAGCTATTTTATTCCAAACTCCCCTTTGGGGGACACGGGGCCGGTGCTGCTGGGGGGGAGAGAGCCCCAGCAGCATGACGGGAAACACAATCCCCCCTGTAACATCCACACCGAATGGAAACCATCCCACACTGCCAGGATGCCACAGCAATGCAGATTCCCGAGGTCCCAACACTTGCAGCAAAGTTGGGAGCCGACGCTCCCAATCAGGCTGAGAAAAACTAGACCTTTTTATTCCCCAAAACCAGAACGTTTTGCCTCGCCTGGTAGAAGACTTGATCTTTTTTCTGCCTTGTTATGAAGTTATTTCTGAAAGCCACCTATTCCCCAGCTGGGGCTGCCTGGCCACGCCGCGGGCAGCGACTGCAGCCAAGAGCTGCGACCGCAGTCAACCCGGAGCCCTGGGCTGGCAAACGAGGGGCTTTGGATGCCAAACCCCACCTCTAACCACTGCCCAGCCCTTCTCAACCCAGATGGGGAAACCTGAGACACAAACCTCTACCAGCCCGTGGCTCTCAGCTTTGGGCTTGCAGCGAGCCCCTTGAAGCTGGAGGAGGGTGGGAGGGCCGAGCTGCTGCTGTGCAGGGAGCAGGGAACAGTTGTTCCCCATATGGGAGCAGGATTGGGAACGGCAGGGGTCCCAAAAATTGTATGGCCTGAGAAAGGGTGAAGTGACCAAATGTGACACCGCAGCACCCTCCCCTCAAGGGATGGGGATGCAAAGCCAGAGGTCTCTCTGCCCCCCAAGTCCCAGAGAAGGGACTCCAACAGGATTTTGTGGCTGTGCCCTGCTGGGGGACCCCACTTGCACCCCAGGCACTGGTGCCTGTGCTACCCAAGAGGGCTCACCTCCTTGGGTGGGTGATGCCAACCCCACCCCCAGCCCTGTACACCCCCCTTGGCTGCCCTTCTCCCACACCATCCCCGAGCCAACAGCACCAGGCACTGTCAAGGCACCCACCCAGCGCTTGCTGTGCATTTGCTTTGGAAACAACACAACCAGCTCTGGTGCAATGCTAAAAAAATTTTAGGGAAAAAAAGGAGTTTTTCTAACATGCAAGGCCCTGGCTCCTATAAACAGGATTTCTTCCGTGTCCCAGGCAGCGAGTGAATGAGACACAGATGGCTGGACTTGGAACACCTCAGAGCTCACAACCACAAAATGATCCCCCTAAACGAGCAGTGAGTGAGCTGGAAATGGGAGCCCCCAGAGGGGTCTGCTTTACCAGGAAGCCTCTTCTGCTCTCAGCTGAGGGGCCTACGAGAGGGCAGGAGATCCCTGCAGCCAGAGCGATGGCTGCCTGTGCCCGAGGAGGGCTCTGCCACCCTGCCTGGAGTGAGATGCTGCTCCCTGGGAACAGTCCTAGAGCAGAATGACCCCTGTCCTGCAGGTCTGGGCCTCATCCTGATACCTGAGTACTTCACGGCACCTTGGAGACTCTGCAGTGAGAGCAGTGAGCACACAAGCTGTCTCTGAACCACGCATCCCAGCCAGGCCATTCCTCCTGCCCACCCTGACCCACCACACAATCCGCTTCTGGAGGCACCTCCCAGCCCTTCTCTCCAAATCCATCCCCTTTGCAAAGCTCCCTGGAGCTCTGAAAGCCCCAGGGGCCACAGCTGAGGGCCCAGACACCACTGGCACCAGCTCTGCCATTTGCAGCCCGGGCGACTTTTACAGACCATCTGCGACATCCAAAATAGCAGGAAGGGGCTTTCTGCACACTATTATTATTTATGATCATACTGCAGGAGAGCCGGGCTGTGGTCACACGTTGTCCCTGTCCCGCCCTGCCACTGCAGGGGACGTGGGTGACAACTCCTCTCCCCCACCCTGTCCTCTGCCACCCTTCACCGGTCTCTGCTGGAAATGACTGCTCCTCTGATCTGTCAGCACAGCCACATGAGTAATCGCCCACGGCCAACTGCAACCAGCATGGCCCGACTCAGAACAGCCCTTTTTAGGCAGCCAGACCCATGTCACCGGAGTGCCACCAGCCAGCAGGATGCCAGCAGCCACCCCCAAGCCCGGGAATGGCGCCAGGTGACTCATCTTGCACTGCCCAACCTGAAACAGATCCCTGCAGGGATCCAGCTCTCCAAGAGACCTGGGTGAGGTGGGGAGGTTGGCCTCAGTTCGGGGCCACGGCACAAACAGAAGGCATCAGTGTCTGGCAGGAGGGCAGGAGCACATATGGAGGGGCAACAACCCTTCCAGGATGCTCCTGCCACCCACAGGTGCTGGAATGTGGACCCTGGACAGGGGATGGAAGCAGCAGAGGTGTCCCCCCTCTCAGGGATGCCCCCTGCTCGGTGCTGCAAGCCCAGCCAGGCAGGAAGGATGAGGAGGTGAGGGTGCAAAGGGGCAGGGTGGGGCTCACCTGCACTGGCTGGCCGCTGTGGCAGCCCTGGGGACACCGTGTTCCTCTGCAAGGCCGGCTGCTGCGGTGACAGGAGCCGGGGGTCTGTGAGCGAGGAGGTCACCAGGGACTGGGTCACCAGCGAGCTGCCCGGGTTGCTGAACTGCAGCGTGTTTTGGTTGGTCACCGGCACCGTCACGGGCATGGCGAAGTTCGGAGCGGGCACTGTGGACTGAACAGAGAGCAGGGGGTAAAGGGGAGCCAGAGCCGAGCTCCTGCAGCACAGCACTGCTGCTGACCAAGGGGGTCAGGTCTCCTCAAGCCTCCACTGCTGACCTGCAGTGCTGTGCTCGAACCCACACTGGCACCTTGGGGGGGATGCACCAGAGCCCAGTTCCCCACCACGGAACACTGGGAAGAGCAATGGGCTATCCTCTCGGACACGCCAGAGCTCTGCAAACAACTGCTTTGGCCTCATTTTCAGCTTGTATTTATTTATCCCCTGTGTTTTCAGGGCAGGCATGAAGGAGAGGCTGGGAGCAGCCCAGAGCATGAAGGTGGGCACCAGCCTGGTGGCTTGGCACTTGGCACTACCCTTCACCCCAAGCAGGATTCTCTGATGCGGTTCCTCAGCCAGAAGGAAGCCAGAAGTGGATCCCCATGCTGGGCTGGCACTGCTGCTGCTGGGAAACACTCGTTTTGCTCCACAGAGCCCCTGGGTGACTCTGGGATCCATCCTGTCTCCTCTGGGAGCTGCTGGGAAGGAGGAGCTGATGCCAGGGATGCAGGAGCATTGCTAAAGCCCTATCCTTGGCTGCAGGTTGAGGACCAGCTTCACCTACCAGCGTCCTGTGGGAGCCAGACCCGCTGCGATTATCCCAGCCGTTTGTCTTATGTCACTGATTTGCTCTTCGTTAACAGGAGCTGGCACCTGCTTAGAGGCTTTAGCACAGGCTTTGCTAAAGTCCCACTTATAATTTACTCCAGGATGGAGAGGGAGAGTAGCCCAGCACTGAATGGGACCATCACAGGGCCAGAGGTGGAGCCCCACAGGCTGCACCAGCAATGGAAGAGGGAGCTGAGGTCCCCTCACTGCAGCTGGTGCAGCTCCCTGCTGCCTTGCCTTGCCTTCTCCTCCAGAAATCTGCTCCTGGATAGGTCCTGCTCCTTAGGTGACAGAGGGGGATGGGAGGAAGGAGTAGGACAGTGCTCACCCACGCCTCGCTGCCAGGAACTCTCCCCACCTGCCTCCCAAGGGCATCCTGTCCTTCAGAGATATCCTGTGGCTGCAGCCAAGCCACGAGGACAGCGGCTCTGAGCCTGCGCTGTGGCACCGCTCCTGGGGCTGCCGCTCACAGGGACAGGCTCAGCAATTCCTACACCACCAGGGAGAGCTGGAACACGGAGCCCTACCTCTGCTCAGCCCGGGAGCTCATCCTGCACGGCAGCAGAATCGGAGGAGGAGGAGGAGGAGGAAGGTTTCTTGGGCGTTGCACGAACACCGGAGCAGCGTTGTGTAATAAATCACTGCCAACGCGTCCATGTGTGCACAACGTTCCCAGGGAGGGAGAGGAAGAGCTAAAGCTCCTCCACACCACAGCATGAGCAACATGGGGGTACAGCCACGAGCTGGATACACCGGCCCCAGAGCCGAGGTTTGCCTTAATCCAGCTCCACCCCACTGCACCTGCAGACAAGCGTCAGGCTGACGCTGCCCCAGCACACCCAGGCTACCCAGGGCACAAGGAAGGACACGGTTTTGCACACTGGTCCAAAGTCTGGGGGAGAAGATGCGCACATCAGCCAAAATCCAGGATTTCTGCTCTCGTTAGAAGTGAGGGCAAACACCAGAGGCACAAGCCCCGCCCAGGCCTCTCGTTAGCGGCTGTCGTTAATCTGCCCCGGCCACCCCGCTGGGTTAGTTCTGGTCACACACAAAACCAACCCAGCAGTTAAAATGGAAAAGCATCTTCTTCAACCACACACACTCCACCTGCACTGCTCGGCCCCTCGCTGCCAGGGAGGTTTAGTGGGGGAGCCAGATGCTGTGCCCTGGTGAGAAGCCACCCAGCACTTGAATGCCACCTGCTGAAAGCACTTCTGGGATTGTCCCTTTGCATCAGCATGTCTGCATGATGGGGGCCCTCCCTTCGCAGCAGACACATTCTGATGGCTGAGCAGCCCCTGCTCATGAGGGTGCTCTGCACTAAGGACAAAGCTCAGGTGGTTTTTGAGCCTCTTTTCCACCAGTGGCAGGGCTTGTGCCAGGTGCTGGGGGGATGCATGGCCTGCTGGGGCTCTACTCCCACCCCACACACTCTGGTAGGGTGGGAACCTGCAACCCCCTGGTGAAACCGGGGAGGCTGAGGTAGATCCCTGTACTGACAGAGCTAATCCTGCCCTGAACCCCTCTCGTGGGGCTGAGCTTGTCACAGCAGAGCTGCCAGAGATTATCATCACCTGCATCCCACTTTCCTCCACCTCCTCAGCCCTCTCAGGTCTCCGGGCAGCTTCCCCACCCCCTCCGCCCTGAGATCTAGGGAATGGAAATGCAGATTTTGGGATCCTTTCGAGGCTCGTGGAGCAACACAACGCTGAGTCAGCAAAACAAAACCTGGGGATTTCACAAGGCCCAGTTCTCGAGAAAAGCCAGAATTTTAACCTGTGGGGGCTTGCACAGCACAGAAGGGCAGATTATTTCGGGTGGGGCTGTGTGTGTGTCATTTTTGCTGGGCTGCATTCCCCCCTGGAAAAGGAGGCTCCCCCCTGCTCCCGCAGCATTAATTACGGCTGCAGCGACTCAGGGCTAATCCCCCAAGAGCCGTTGCCTGCATCAATAGTCTCTGCTCCCTTGAACTAACAACTAATTTGAAACGTGTCCCCCTCCTCCTCTCGTCTCCTGACACAAATCCCTTTCAGCACTGTCCTGATGCCACCCCGGTGCCAGTGACAGCTCTGGGATCACAGGCTAAAACCTCCCTGGATTTCTGCCACGGCCACCAGCTGCCCTGAGGGCTCGGTGGATTTGGGGGGAATTAACGTGGAATAGCCCAAACCAGGCTGAGCTTTTCAAGGATGTGAGGGGGTCAGCACCCGCCACCAGCTCACATGAACACTGGGATCTTAACCCAGACAAAAATCTGATTTTTTGAGGAAAAGAGGGTAAAAAAGGAGGCCCTAATCCACTGCTTGTAGAGGAGAGGAGACAAGCAATACCATCCTGCACTGCCTGGCCAGAGCCAACGAGAGTCAGGACTGCCAGAGCTAGTAGGAAGGATCTTCCCAAGGATGGGAAACAGGAAGGGCACTCAAGAGCCAGGTGCATTCAGGGCTTCAGGGGCTGTTGGCATCGGCTCCCAAGGCATGGCACGGCTCCGAAGCAAAGCCATGCAAAATCCACCCCCCCATCACCTGGAGGCACTGGGGAGGGGACCAGGGGGGCTGCAGGCCACCAGCTACTCACTGCGAGCCGGTAACTCTGCATCATTTTATCAAATTCCTCATCAATCTTTTTATATTTCTCTTCCGTCTGCGGGGTCAGCGCAAACACTTCATCCCCTTCCGGGCTCTCGCACTCCCTGTGCTTCTTGTTCAGCGCCTGTTACGTGTGGGGGGACACGGGGGTGTCGGGGAGGGAGCGGGGACGAGGTCGAGGGGAGGTCGAACAGAAGAGAAACAAAACAGAAAAGAACATATAATGAAGGTTTTCCAGCCACAGGCAGGTACTTACACCATATCTCTTGAACAGGATATCCAGATCCTCGCTGCCTTTGCGGTATTTATCCTCCATCAAGGGGCTCTGGTCTATGGAGTCGTCGCCGTCGGGCTCTGGGCTGTCACAGCCGTTAAAACCTTTCTTTCTTAACGTCTGAAAACACAACCGGAACAGTCTGAGATCGGGGAGTGGAGATGGGGAACACGGGCGGGTTCCCCCCAGAGCATCCCCTGGCCTGGATGGACCAGGACTTGTCCCTGTACAAATCAACACCATCACCCCAAGGTGTCGCTGACCTCAATGGGATTAAAAAATCAGGATACAGCCCCTGGGTTTTGATGCCAGGGTGTCTCTAATTTAGGAATTACAGCACGGAGAGCGACGGAGCGAAACTTCCTTGTTTTCAAAGGTTCTGTTTATACCAGGACTGAATTTGGCCCTGCATGAACTCGGGCATCTTCGTCACTTTCAGGCGCCACAACACCATGAAGGGGAAAAAAACCTTAATGCTCTTTGTTGTCCTGCAAAAAACATGGAAAACCTGCTTACAAACAGCCAAATAGGAAAATAAACCCCAGAATACAGGCGAATTGTCAAATTTGTCAGAATTTCCTGACAAAAGCAGACAAGTGGCATTTGCCAAATGCAAAGGTGCCACAGGAAGAGCATCACATGACAGGGCATGTGGCATGGTGACAGCTGCAAGCCCTGTCACCCATCACAGGGGGTGATGGTGACAACACTGGGCAGCAAACCCCACACCAAGACTGGGCTCACAAACAGGAAAGGACCTGGGCACTGCTACATCGAGGGAATGAGGTGACACAAGCGCTCCTCATCAGGAGGAGCCTGGTGACTGCAGGGCACGGTGGCACCCCAAAGTCCCCCACTCATATTTCTGCAGCCAATTGAGATCCACTTTGAATCCCTCTATTTTCAACACACCAAAAGCAATTAGGCGTTATGACGGAACCAGCACTCGCCAACTCTTTTTTTTTTTTTAGAAGTCAAAGCTACAGAATTTCCTGGAAGTCTTGATCCCTTTTCATGCCAAATTCAGCAGGGGGAAAAAAAAAAAAGAGTCTTGACAATTCTCTGTCTTCCTAAACAGCAACAAACATCTCCGTTCTGAGGCCAAAGCATGTTTGGGAGTGGCTCTTCAACTACCTGTGAGCTCCAGGAAACACAGGGCTTCTGGGGGAAATGCTGCTGGAGCACATCAAACCCAGGATGGCTCCACAAGGGTTGGGATTTGTGGGCAGGATTTGCTCGGCACTGCTCTGCACCACAGGTCGGGCTCAGGGATGCTTGTGCCAGGTAGCCACGGCCAAGCAATGGGCACCACACCCACCCCAGCCTGTTCTCCATCCAGCTGAAGCTTTTCACAATATTTTCCATTAAAACTACTCCTTCCTGGGCCTTCCCAGGTGGCATTTTCACCCTCATTACTGGATTCGGTTGCAGAGGGGAAATGTCCTCGTTCACACACAGCTCCACAAGAAACTCACTCCTGACCACGGTGGCATTTGATGCCCTGTTTGGTGTCACCAGTAATTCCTGATACCTAATAATTATTAACTAATTATCTAATAATTATAATGATTATGAATAATTCTTATATCTAATATTAACACTATACCTAATAATAATTCCTGGCATCCGTAATTCCTGTGTTCACTCTCTATAGAGAAAGGCAGTGGGAATCAGTCACTGCCATGAACAGGAGATTCCCAGAGCTTTTTCTGCAGTTTCCCGAGGACTTTTCCCTATTATTTTTCTATTTTTGTACGTGTCCTTGTTTGTTCTCAGAATGGCCCAAAAGAGGAAGAGGTGCTGCTGGTGGGGAAGGAACAGCTTTGCCTTTTTTTTTTTTTTTTTAAACTGCTTTTTGTGGATTTTTTTTTTCCAAAACCTTTTGTCTTGCCGACGCAGCCAAAAGACGGAAAATTGAGCTTTCCTCTAAAAAAACAAAAAGATTTTTCCTTTTTCTCTTTCAGAGGCAAAATGGAAAAAGTTGTTCCATGAGCAGTGAAGCAATGAAGCCGGGTTTCCTTCAGGCACTGCAGAGACTCTCTGGTGTCTAACGGGGCTGTGCCCACCTTGACACGATTCCCTTTGCAGGGACAGGAGCTGGACCTCTCATCTCTGCCCTCCCATCCCTGCCTGGAAATCGGGAAGGTAACCCCTCACATCCCAGAAAACTCCTCTCCTCCAGCAACAGCTGTTGGCAGGTCCAGAAGTTGGGGGGATGGACGAGAGGGAACCTCACAATGGGATTTTTCAAGAGGCTTCAGCCATGCAAAAAAAATCTTCTTTCTAAAACCTGCAGCAACGCTGCCAGCAGGGAGGTTTTTAGGCAGCTCCCAGCGCCTTCAGCTCTGCCCAGCACAGAGATGAGCAAGGGGCTGCCACCATCAGCTGCAGCATTTTGCCATTTCTAGGTCCACATAAAATCATCCCTGGGGGTTGCTCCCTCAACAAGTCTGTCAAGGAAAGCAGTGGAAGGGAGGGATGTGGCTCTGCTCACCCAAACCCTGAAACAGCTCACAGCATCACCCCTTCATCTTTCCCAAGGTCTTTCTCTGTGGGCCTAACACATTTGGTGTCCCAGCTTTGCCTCGGCCTCTCTGCTCTCCCCAGCCACCAACTTTGTAAAATCAGTCATAACTTCATTGTCTATGAGACCCACAGTTCCAGCAGGGGTGGCTCCTCAGCAGCTGAGCTGTAAGGGGCAGCTGTGGTGCCACCATCCCTGCTCCTGCAGGAAACCTGCCAGCAGCCCCAGGATGTGCACAGGGAAAAAAATCCTTCCTGAACGTACCGGCAGCAGCGTGAGCTGGGACTGTGCCCCTGACCTGGAATTGTGACCCTGGGGCTGGGACTGTGACCTGTAGCACTGTGAGGGGCTGCAGGGAAGGCGATGGGGACAAGCTCCAGTGCTGGCAGGGCTGAGCACGGGGCTGATCTGCACAGAGGGACGGAAGCACCGGCGGCAGGGAGTGACCAGGCTGGAGTCACAGCAGGACACGAGCCAAGGCAGAGTGGCTTGCAGCAATCTGCTGCTCAACGAGAGGTTTGGGACAACAAAATGCCATTTCCAGCCATACGGGCGTTGGCTGCTGGTTCTTTCGGGTTTTTTTACCAAAATAAAAAAATGTGTGTCCCACATTTTTAGCTTTTTGTCAAGATGATGTAAAAGGAAAACAATTCTGCTGGAGCAGGAATCAAACCCAAAGATTCCTGTTCTTGGGACCTCCACAAGGTCTTTTAGAAAAGAACTTTCCTTCTCATTCCTCCTCCTTTTTGCCAGGGAAAAAACAGAAGATGCAAAGAGGTTTTCAGGAAACCTTTCTGTCACTGGGCTGCAGCCAGCGGAACACAGCAATTTTTCATATGGAAGAGATTTAGAAGCAATCCCTTTCCAGCAGAAAATTTTCAGAGAAACCAGGGTGAGAACTTCCCTTAGCAAAAACCCACCTCGGTCATTACCTGCCCCTCTCCCTGCCACACTCAGGTACCCTCATTCTATCAGGACCCACTGCACATCCTGCTTTTCCAGGCAATAGTCTCAGTTCCATGATCCCAGCTCACACGGGAGCAGATTTCCAACCTGAAGAGGGTAAGAGAGCAGCAGGAAATGCAGAACATGTGAGAGGAAACGATGCTCAACCAGGATGCGGGTTGACTTCCCTTAGAGCAGGGAGACTCAACCACTCTGGGCTTTGAGGAAGTCTGGATGAGGATAAGGATGAGAATGAGGATGAAAACTGGCAGCTGCCTCTGCATTTCACCACCTCCCCAGCATCCTGCAAAATGTCTGATTTAACACATCCTGGGGAATGACAACCCCAGGAAGGAGAATTAGGAGAAAATCAGCCCCTCCAGGACATTCAGCCAAGGAAAGGGCAGTGTGGCTTTAATTGGCTGTGGAGCATCCTGGTGCCCAGCGAGCTCTGCTCTGCCCAAGCCCCTTATCAGGAACTGGCACATCAGGCAGGCTGTGGGGAAACGAGAAGCGACAGCGAGGACCAAAGCCGGCGTGATCCCAGGCCGGGCGTGCACGTGGCACCCAGCGTGCCTGTCTGGGGGCTCAGCTGTCCCCCGCCTGATTAAGGAAACCCCCCTCTCTGCATTAGAGAGATTTTCTCCGACTTAAAAGCCTGCAATAACCAGGACTTTGCCCGGCAGAGAAGCCACGGGGGTTGCGTGGCTGAATCTCACTCCTGACAGCCGCTGCTGAGCCCTGGCGCAGCTGAAACACGGGGGTGTCCCTGCAGGGAAGGGTCCCCAAAAGGAGCCGGGGTGTGGAACCCTTCTTGAACTTCTATGCTCAGCATGGAGCAGCTCTGTCTCTCACTAAATATCATGGGGAAAAGCCCCTCAAGGAAATTCCTGTGCAGCATGGGATGGGGTGCCCCCAGTCCCACCCTGAGATGCACCTCCTCAGAACCAAAAACCAAGAGATGTCACATTACATTGTTTTAAAATGTAATTTGGACAGAGCAACTCATCCTGCCTTGAGCTGTGGTATCAGTGCTTTTGGCCCCAGGAGCCCCCAGCCTGGCAGTGCTTGGCTTAGCCCTCTGGAGTCACTGCTCGCTCCCCTTCCACTAGAAAAACAAAATCAAGAGGCTTCTGCCTCAATTCCTCCAGGTCCTGGCTGCTCCTCATCCTTCCTGATGAGGAAGCCACTTCCTGCCAGAGCTGCTCAGGGCTGAATTCCTCAGCAGGAAAGGGCTGCAGGTCACAGGGAAGATGGGTTGATGCAGCAGCCCCTTGAAATCCACTTTAAATCATATTTGGTGGCAAATTCCCAGCCTGGGTTTTCACGGTCTCTAAATGCTCAATGTGGGGAAGCTTCCAGAATGAGAAGATACTTTTTGTGAGTCAAGTTCCACTGGGAGCCACCAAGAAACATGAGATAAATTGGATTTGTGTGCAGTGGGGACATAGCTGGGCTGGTGGAACCTGACCTGGGCGAGGGGAAATGGAAATCAGCACCAAGAACAGGAATGGTCTCCTGGGAGCATGGATTCAGAAAACAGCAAAAATCTTAGAGCAGCCCCAACCCTGTGCCCAGACAAGACAAGGATGAGGAGGGATGCTTGAGCAGCCTCCAAACCTGACTGCACCCCAGCAGGTTTTGCTCCATGACAGCTCTGCCAGCAAGACATGCCGAGCCCGGCGTGTTTGGGCTCTTTTTCTTGCCATCCACCAATATCCTTCCGCTCCCGATGTTCCTCTCCTTGGCTTTGGAAGCAGATCCAGCTTTTCATGTGGTGCAAACACAGTGTTTCTTTGGGTGCCAAGGACTGTGTGTAACTTGTCGGCTTGGGAGTGTTTGCATCTTGGACCATAAGGGAACAGAGAACGCTGCCCAAAATGTTTACGGTATTTTTAGGCCAAGACAAATCTGTTCAACGCCGCGAGCGCCGCAGTTTGAGCATCCCGGAGAGGCTGCGCCGCCGAGCACGGCAGGGAACTGCTGGCATTTGCACAGTGAAGGGGCATTACCTGCCTCAAACAGGCCACAAAGGACACTACTGAACCGTTCTGAAGGCCCCTGCAAAACTGTGCTGTGGCAGAAGAGTCTCCGAACTCCAGCAAGGGAAGGCAGATGCTGCGAGATGCTTGGTCATGGCTCAGCCGCGGGGTGAAAACCTCAAGTCCAAACATCTCAAAAAGACAAATTTTACAATGCATAAAAAAGAAAAAGAAAGCAAGATTTTGGGTGGTGGAGGCAGGCTGGGTTTTTTTCCCTTCTCCTTCATGAAATCAAAGCCTGGCACGTTGGCCAAGCGGCAACAAAGGGATTCAAAGGCAGAAGCAGAAGTCCAATTCCTCCAGCAGTGCAGGCCATGCTGCTCCACTCTGCCACCAGTGGCTCTGAGGGCATTAATTGATGCCCATAATGCCACTAATTACAAAGCCAAGCCCTTCATTTGCCTGTCTGTCCAGGTTTAATGGCAGCTGCCCCCATGCTGAGGACCACGCAGCTCCATCTGCACAGCTACTGCTGAGGGAGAGATGTGACCAGTGACCAAGGCACTGCTGGCACTCTCCTGTGAGCCAAGTGTGCCCCGTGCTCTGGCCCAGTGATGTTCAGCCAGCACCAGGGACAAGGACAGAGCTGTGGAGAGGGCCAGAGTGGGGGCACCAGCAGCACATGGCAGCTGAGCACCTCCTGCCATGTCAGCAGGCTGGAGGAGAGCAGCCTTGAAGTGAGCACAGTTTGGGCATGGTGCCACTGGTGGCAGTGCTGGGGATGGGTCAGACTGGACATGGTTGGGCCATCACTGGAGACCCACAAAATGCAGCCAGACAAGCCTTGAGCAAACCCACCAACCCATGAACTTGTCTGTGCTTTGAGCAGGCACTGGACCAGAGGCACAGGGCCCATCCCACCTGAATTCCTCTTCGATTTGGCCACTCGTGCCCTCCCACAACCCCACTGTGCCTGTCTGAATATCAGGCTGGGGCAATGTCACCAGCTGCACCAGGCACTTCAGAACAATGTCACGAGTTGCACCAGGCACTCCAGTGCAGCAGCCCCAGGAGCTGCCTCCAAATCCATCTCGTGGTTTGCCTGGACCACAGCAGAGTCTCACAAAGCAAACCCACACCTCAAGTTTCAAGGCAGCAGGTCAACTCACAACTGGAGACAGCTTCAACTCTACCACCCAGAATGGAGTATTTTTGTAGGCTGAACCAAAACCATGCAAAATCCATCTGGCATTGAGTATGGGAGATCTGCTTGCTCCATCCCCTCCTGCATGCAGTGTGGTAGCAGCCTCAGCCCTGGCTCTACCACGGTGGCAAAGCTGGGGAGCAGACAGGCCTCACCTCAATGATGTCTGCGTTGGTCCGGCTCTCATGGGGCTCGTTGTACTCGGTGTACTTGAGCAGCACCTTGTCCATGTCGGTGCTGGCATACTGGAACAGCTTGTTGGAGTGGTTGAAGATGATGAGGGCAATCTCACAGTCACACAGGACACTCAGCTCGTAGGCTTTCTTCATCAAGCCAAACTTGCGCTTGGTGAAGGTCACCTGAAAGCAAGGACAGCCGTGGTGAGAAGCTGTGTCCATGCTGCCACAGACCCAACACCTCCCAGAGAAAAATGGAATGACCACTGGAGGAAGAGCAAAAGGAAGGGGAATGCAGAGGGAATATTCTGTCTCAGTTTCCCCAATTGGACCCAACCCCAAGCTCTCCTCTCTCGCCTCCCTCTTCCAAACGGTTCATATTGCTGCCTATTTTGGGATCCTCCAAAGGCAGACACTTCACAAGCACAAAGATGATTATCAGCGTTGGAAATCACATATTGCCAAATCAAGAGAAAATAAATTTCAGCAAAATCCCCAGCAGAGCTGCCATCTGTCCGGGGGCTGCGGGTTTTTAAGTGGAATATTCAAGCGATGGAGATCTCGTCCTCACTCGCTGCAGCTGCACTGTGAGTGCCCAACCCCAGGGGCCACAGAGCTGGGGCTCAGCACCCCAAAACTGCCCACTGGTGCCCACCCCACCCCTCCTCTGACCCACTCTCCTGCTCACCAGCCCCCACTTATCTTGGTAGGCTATGCTTCCCCAAGGGCACCACAAGCTCCCCTGTGCCAGGGGCCCGCCCTGCTGCTGCTTTCATCTCTCTGTCCCTTTGTGTAACCTCACCGGGGTGTTTTTCCTCACTGCCTGCCCAACTGGGGTCCCTATCTCCCCAGCCCACCCTTCCTTGAGCTGTAACCAGAGCTGTCAGCTGACAAGGCAGCTTCTGCAGGACTGATCCTGGAGAGCTGGCTGGGGGCTGGGGCCAGGACTGGGGCTGGGTGCTGGCTCCAACACCAGCTCCAGCTGCTGGGCAGACGTTGGGCTGCGATTCCCAGCCCACGCTCAGCTCTCACCACCACACTCCTAACAGGACCCAGCTGGTGTGGAGGGAGCTGGTTTGGGGCTCCCTGTCCTGGCTGCAGTACAGACAGCTGCTGAGGGTCCCCCACCCCCCCAAACACGCAGCTCACTGACGGGGAAGGCGCAATGCTTGGCCAATGCCCTCTCGGCAAATAAAAAGCAGAAAAAGAAAATAAGAGGCAGGAGGTCACCACTTCATGCTCAGCATTGCTCTGGGTCCAAAGCAGCCTCCAGGGGATAGGCTGGAGATGAGCTGAGATGCCCTTGAGTGCCAAGACCTGCTCCCTTCTCCATATGGGAGGGCTTGACTCCACTCTGGGCCTCCACCACAGCATCAGTTTTGCAACTGAGCAGCTTTAATTCGCAGAGCTGAGGGAGGAAAGTGAATGAGGCTGCTGCCTTTGCTCAGCCTGTCAGTGGTGTCACAACCACGGTCCAAAAAGCTCAACATGGAGCTGCCAGGAGCACCCATATGAACCCCCAGGGTCCAGCACCCCTCCAGACAAAACCACATTCCCTGCGTGTGGTGGGAGGGCAGAGCAGGGGCAGCTCTGGGCACACTTGGCAAGGGGAGCTGCTGCCCCTCCCCACCATCTCCCAGAGATGATTAAGCAGTAACGAGATTCAGCTCTAATCGCCTCATCCCCTGCAAAGTGTAGGGCTGGTGCCCTGTGCTGCTGTGGCCGCCACGTGCGCCTGCTTTGGCCACGGCTGGGCTGCAGCCGGGCCACTCACGTTGCCAGCACTGCCCCAGCCCCGGCACACTCTGGTGCAAATTAAATCACTTGAGGGCCAGCTTCTGTCTCACCAATAACTCTCCGTCCCCAGTAGCATTCCAGACTTCTCAGTCACCCAAAACCTCTGCTGCCAGGCGAAAACCAGGAGCGAGCAGTGTCACAGCACAGCTGTGGCTGCACTGGGACTTCAGGTGGGACCCAGCTATGGTTCTGCTCCTGCAGCCGTGGCAGGACAGGCATCAAAACCAGGACGCGTCTCTCTGCCCCCTTCCCCAGCCTTGCCAGTCTCACTGTCCCTGCTGGGAACACTCCCCGAGCAGCTCGAGGAGGAAAACACGGAGAGTCTCCACCAGAACAGAGGGAACAGCCAAGGGTGGCTGTTCCTGCAGCTGCCAGTGCCAGGGACACCTCGCCAAAACAAACCTTGCCAGGCACCACGACAGGCTCAGCCACCAAGACTGGAGGCAATGGGGAGAGGCCAAGACGTGGGGGCCAAATAATGGGGCAGCTCTTGGCCCTGAAGACCAGTGACAAGCATGACAAGGGTTTTGCCCTTGAGTAGTGAAGAGTGTAGGATCATCTTCCCCAAATCAACCAGAAACCTGGGCAGAGCTGAGCAGAACACAAAACACCAAATTATCCCTCTGGAGATGAGGGGACATTCCCTCTGCAGACAGGGCACAAGAGCATCCCTCTCTATTGGCACCTCTGCATCTTGCAGAGAAAAGCAAAGATTGGCCATTTAGCCATCATATCACACAAGAGCATCACCTAAGATTGCTTTGTGCATCCACTCATGACCCGGGACAGAAACCTCAAACCTTCCCCTGATGCCATGCACGAGCCTCATCTAGAAGAATTAACCTTGTAAGTCTAAGAGGGTAATCAAATCTCATGCTTCAGGGCATAAGCCGATCACCAAAGGGGTCAGGAAGGAATTACTGCCCCACACTAGCAGGGGATTTTTTGCCTTTCCCCTGATGCAAACCATATTGGCAGTTGCCAGAGTCAGCGGCCTGGCCCTGAAGGACTGATGGCCTGATCTGTTGTGGCAAATCCTCTCCAGTAATTCCTCTAATGACATTAGTGACTCTTACTTGCTCTCCTGCCCTGGTTTTGGCTGCTGCTGTAATTCACAGCATCACACACTGGTTTGAGTTGGAAAGGAACTTAAAGCTCATCTTGTCCCATACCCTGCCATGGCAGGGGCATCTTCAAGTGTCCCAGGCTGCTCCAAGCCCTGTCCAGCCTGGCCTTGGACACTTCCAGGAATGGGGCAGCCACAGCTTCTCTGGGCACCCTGTGCCAGGGCCTCCCCACCCTTACAAGAAAAATTTCCTCCTAATATCCCATCTAAATCTTCCCTTTTTCAGTTTGAAATCATGCCCCTTATCCCATCACTATCTGCTCATGTAAAACATCCCTCTCTGATAAACTCCTTTAAGTGCTGGAAGGCTGCAGTGAGGTCTCCCTGGAGCCACCTCTGGCTCCTCACTCTCCTTCCCTCCCTCTCCTGCTGTTGCTGTGGATCAGTGATGAGGAGAGGAGCGTCCATCTCCCTCTTTTCAGTTTAAAACCATTCCCCTTTGTCCTGTCACACCATGTCCTTGTCCAAAGCCCCTCTCCAGCTTTCCTGGAGCCCCTTTAGATCTCCACGGAGCCTTCTCTTCTCCAGGCTGAACACCCCCAGGTCTCCCAGCCTGGCTCCAGAGTAGAGGTGCTCCAGCCCCCAGAGTATCTCCATGGGCTCCTCTGGACCCACTCCAGCAGCTCCACATCCTCCATGGGGGCTCGTGGGACACGACCAGGGTCAGATGGTGCTGCAGGCTCAATGTGAGATGCTTCACCTCGCAGCAGAGGCTCTGGAGAGCTCCTGCTCAGCTTCAGCTCTCCCTGAGGGTCGTGATGCCTCAGCAGCCCCAAGCCACTGCTCGGGTGACTTTGGCAGCACGAGTGGAAATGCAGGTGTCGAAAGCAGCTCTGCCTCCACCTCCTTGCAGCACCACTGGTGAGTCCCTCATTCTGCAGGGCATCCCTGCACCCTTCCCATTCCTCTGCCAGCAGGTGCAGGTGCTGTTGCAGCCACCCAGTCATGCCAAGGACCAGTGCAGCTGGGGCAGCCAGCCCTGCATTCACTGCAATGGGCCCCATCCAGAATTCATCAGGGCTGGGCAGGGAGAGCTGACTGTGCCCTCTGCCCCCAGCCTGAGCAGGGGTCTGCCATGGGGACAGGGGTGGGCTGAGGATGCTCCCAGACGCTGGGTTTAAGGCAGCTTAGCCAGCAGCCACAGCAGGCACGCACACATGGACACTCCTCTCCTCATCACTGATCCACAGCAACAGCAGGAGAGGGAGGGAAGGAGAGTGAGGAGCCAGAGGTGGCTCCAGGGAGACCTCACTGCAGCCTTCCAGCACTTAAAGGAGTTTATCAGAGAGGGATGTTTTACATGAGCAGATAGTGATGGGATAAGGGGCATGATTTTAAACTGAAAAAGAGGAGATTTAGATGGGATATTAGGAGGAAATTTTTCTTGTGAGGGTGGGGAGGCCCTGGCACAGGGTGCCCAGAGAAGCTGTGGCTGCCCCATTCCTGGAAGTGTCCAAGGCCAGGCTGGATAGGGCTTGGAGCAGCCTGGGACAGTGGAAGGTGTCTCTGCCCATGGCAGGGGGGTGGGAGAAGATGGGCTTTAAGATCCCTTCCAACCCAAATTCTATGAGATAAAGCAATATGGGACACTTCTGACTCTGGGGAGTGGATCCTGGCATTGCACATGTACAGCATGGACCAGAAGAGCAGAGCAAGAGGGTTCTCACCCTCTTTACAGCTCCTACCACAGTGGATAGAGCCGATCCCATTCCCTGGAGCAGTCCTTTTTCATGAAATGTCCCATCTTCCTGGTATGTCCTTTTTTCCCCAAAGAAAGGGAGCAGTGAAAATTGATTGCAAAGCTGTGCTGGTGACCAATTAAACAGCTGCTGCTTTGCTGACACCCAGTTTGATCAGGCTGGTTTCTGGGAAGCAAAGCAAGATGTGCTGCACTGGGGTGGGGAGAGATGCTCCCGTGCTGGGTTTTGGAAGAACCAGCCCAGCCAGGGGAAAACCAGTGCCCCCCAGCACGGGTAACTGGGCTTTGGGGACACCTGACATCAGAGATGTGCTAAAGCCATAACACCCAGCCATGCAAAGCAACTCCTGCTGCCCCAAACAATGCTGTGAGACCTCAGCAAGGGTCTTTATCTCCAGCCAGTGCCAGAGAGCAGCTCATCCCTCAAAAACAGTCCCATCACTCAGCTGCTGCCCCTGCAGAGAAGTGCCTCTTTCCTTTTCCAAAGGTCTATCCAGCAGGGCCAGGCTGTGCCATCCCCCTCCAGCGTTACCAATTATTTTCCATTTGTTTGAACTTCAGCAGGGCTCCAGTCACCGCAGATCTCTCAGTCCCCTCTGCAGCACTGCCCCATAAAATACACTCTGGATCCTTCAATAACCCCTAAGGCCCTGTTTGCTCCTCAGGATGGATTTAAACAGCCCCAGGAGCCACTGGGACATCAGCAAAAACTATCAGATCCCAGCCCCCACCACCAAGTGAAGCTATAATGAGGAAAACCTGCCATTTCCTATTGTTTTGCTGCAGAGCAATAAAGTGGTTCATCCAGTTCTGTTCTTTGCCATTCTTTAAGGATTAGGAATATATCCACATGCTTTTTTACTGTTTTTTCTGTTTTTCTGGAGTGAAAGTGGCAGGAAAGAAGTGTGGCAGATCATGCTGGGGTGCAGCAGTGGCTGGACTAAAGGCAGAGGTTTGGATCTGCTGAGCCAAACTCCAGGAGCAGAGAAAGCAAAGGGACCTGCCTGAAAGTCTTGTGGTTATGGGAAATACATGGACAGAGTCATCCCAGAGCAAACCTGGGCTGGCAAAGTGCTGCTGCTCCACCACTTCAGTTTAAGGAACATGGAAATTTGGGAAAAATCTGTTGTTTTCTGTTTTTCCTCGGAGATACATGAACACATTCCTACACACATACACATGCGTATGTGTCTTGGGCTTGGCTTCAAGAGAGCCCAAGGAAAAAAGCCCTGGAGTCATTTAAGTTTACAATTGAGGGAAAAAAAAAAAAAAAGGAATAATTTGAGTTGTTTGCGTTTAGCAAAATGGATACTGGTTGTAGCTGTTTTTTATTGGAAAAACCACATGGAAAATGTCAACCGAAATATATTTTCTGCAAGACAAAAATTAAAAAAAGGGGGAACTAAGTGGAGAAGATACTTTCTTCTGGAAAAGCACTTAGATGGAAACGGCTCAAGGAGCTCCAAGGCAAGGAGCAATGCCTGGATGGGGGCAGAGCAGTGGGACCGTTTGCTCCTGGATCCGCCTGGATCCGGCCTCAGCACCAAGTCTTTGGGAAAAAACACGGCACCGGTGACCCAAAATGGGATGGAAATGGGTCATTTTGAAACATGACACTTAAAATCCCCAAAGGGAGGAGAAGGCTGAGGGACAGCACTGACCTGCCGATTGCGCTCGTCCGTGATCCGCTGGATCTGGATCTTTTTTCTCCCCATCTTCTCCGGAAATCCTCACCGCACCCGGGACGACTTCGGCTCAGGGGAGGGGAGAAGCAACCCCACTTTAAAATGCTTGCATTAAAGAGTGTGGGGGGCTTTTTTCTCCGATGGAAAACAAACCCAAAAAAAGCCAAAACAAAAAAAAAAAAAATCAGTTTTGCGTGGCTCTGTGCTCAGTTCATGGTACTGTCGTGCGCAGCCAGATCCAGTGGGGCTGAGATGTCAGCAGCTGCTCAGAAACCTGCACAACGAGAGAGACAGCAGTGAGATGCTCTGTTCCCAAACCCCATCCAGAACCTGGCACCCCACTGGCATCCTCCTGCCACCAGCACACATCCCACCCCCGAGGCCAGGGTGGTCTCTGGTTCTTTGTCCCACCCAGCTCTGGGGCCAGGAGAGCTGCAGAGGGATTTATCCAAACTGCTCTCAAAGAAGCCCAAGGATGGAGGCCAGGAATGCCACAGGACACGTGTGGGCCAGGCACTGACGCTGGGCCAGGAGGAGGGGACGGCAGCAATGCATCCGTGAATCACTCCCTATTCCTCCCTGACACTCCAGACTTTTTTTTTTTTTCTCTTAATAAAGTCATAAGCAGTCGAGTGGCTGGTGATTAGCTCGGGCAATTTAAATCCGTCTCCAGTTTCTGCACTAATCTTCCATTTGGAATTTTAAAATGTCTTTATTTGATTATTTGAAAGAAACCTTATAACCAGGCAGAGAAACCTAATTCTTAAGGGGAAGGAGGGCTCCAAAGGCAGCTGAGACAGCCTGGCCTTCCACTGGGCTCAGCCACAGCCAGACACCAGATGTTTCCATGGGTCTGGGGCATGTGATTGACTCGGGGGTATCTTGTGCCCAAATCTCTCCCCAAAGGGACAAGTGCTGCAGGTATCAGGGACTCCTTCTGCAGCCTCCCCGTGGTAACCTGCATCCCTCCCAGGGCCAGAAGCTGCATCCAGATGTACCAGGGCACCTGCTGGCACTGCCCCCCAGCCATCCCACCCTGTGTGCCAGCATGTGCTGCACTGCAGTGAGGAGACAAAGAGGAAACTTCAGCCAGTTCATTTTCCACAGGTATGTCTTTCTCCCTGCTCTCTCTCTGAGCGACTGCATAACAGCAGTGATAACACTGCATTTAAGGCAAGGTGCCCTGTACCAAGACCCAGGCAGAGGGAAAAACCAGTCCCAAAATAGCTTCCTATCTGCCTCAACTTGGCAGTCCCCAGCCCTCGGTCTTGTTGCAAAAAGCGTAAAAACAAACAAAGGCTTTTTCTCCCAAACCATCATCCCAAATTCAAAGCAGCAGCTACAGCCAACCTGACCAAGATCCTCCTGCTCCTCTCCCACCCCAGACCCCGGTGAAGAACCTGGCCCCATCCTTTGCCTCCTCATCAGACCATGCTCCAACAACAAACAAGCCCTAATGGTCTCACTCCCACGCTTTTTTTCGGGGTTCACTGAGTCATGTAAGTCACTTGATCTTTTTCTCTGCTTTTTTTGGGGGTAAAGTTATTCATCATGCATCATGTTCTATGGTTTCAGTGCAAGTTTGAGGAGCCCCAAGGAGAATGGGGAATCTTTTCCCCATCCTGACATCCACAATTTGCCCTCTAGGGAGGATGAGGTATGGGGACGACAGAAAGAAGACCAGAGAGACAAAAGGCAGCAAAACCTGGGTTAAATAAATATATAAATAAATAAATCCCACCAGTAAGACTCTTTGCAAGGACAGACCATACAGGGGTGGCATTTAATTCTTGAATCATTATTTACCAAAATAGGTGCATGTTTCCCTCCCAGCAGCAAATAGGAGCAACCATCCAGCTGTGATGAGGAAAACCTGGGGCCAGGAGAGCTGCATGTCACCATGGGGGACACTGAGCCAGTGCCAGCCTTTGGCTGCTGCTCCCCATCCCACCATGGGAAGCCTAAAAAAGACAGGTCCCAGAGCATCACCAGTTCCAGAGCATCACTGCTCCAGCTTGCACCATGTGAGTATCCCTTGAAGATCAGTGATACAGGAAGAGCCAAAAGGAAAACGAGGATTTTTATTTCATCCACCTGAAGTGTCTGCTCGGTTCTTCCCTCACTGTGAGCCCACACAGGAAAGAACCCACAGCTCAAAGGCTCAGAACCAAGGTGAGGATTTTGCACACACAAAGAAACTCTGGAAGAGGAGGAACTTTTTGTTGGGTTGGGTTTGCTTTGCCACTTTTCCCTTCGGAGTTTCCACTTCTCTAAACTGGCTGAAAAATATTCACCTTCAGCATCTTCAAAACCACCAGTGGCAGCACAAAGTAGCAGCAGCTCCACAACCAGACCAGGGCAAGATGCTAATTCTTTCCGTGTGCTGCAGCTCTTGGACAGAGAAACCCTCTGAAAGACAGCGGATTTGCTGTCCAAACCAGAGAGGAACTCTCCAGAAGCAACAATAAACACTGGAGAACAACAGGCAGTAAATTTAAACTGAGTAAAAGGAAACATATTTTAACACAATTTCATTGCGAGACTTGTTCACAGGATGCTATGGCAGCCAAAAGCTCCACAGTGCTCCAAGAGATGGGATGTTTGTAGGGATGAGGAGAAAACCCTGGTGCTGCTCATCCCTGCCCTCAGCTCCACATGAACTGGCATTTCTTGCATGGGAGCAGTGGGATCAAACCACATTCCTGCCCCAGGCCACAAACACACCTCAAGTGTTTCAAACCAAATCCCCTTTTTCAACCACCAAACCAGGTTCCCTCGTGCTGCTCTGAATTCTGACTGCATCCTCAGCACCTCGGCTGGATGGGGACCACCTCAGGGTTTGTTCATGATGCTGGATGAAGTTTTCCACAGGAAAAAGCTCACTTAAGAGGTTTTTGCTCATCATGGGCAGAAAAGGAACTGCCACATGATGCTCTTGACCACTCTACCCTGCATGAGAAGGAAAACACCCGACAGGGAGGGCAGCCCTTGGATGGGGTGAAGAGGAGGGATGGAGAAGAGCACAGCATGTTTGCTGCCCTCCGAATGCACCTGACAAAGAGGATTTCAAACCCCTCCCTTTTCTCTTCATGGAATTGGGGTTTTGGGGTGAGTTTATTTGTTTTGAGGTTGGGTTTTTTCCCCACCGTATTTTTAAACCCAGGTATTTTCACGTTTCCTGCCCAGGTGGCTGTTTCAGAAAGTCCAACCACTGGCTCGAGTTTCTGAACAGCAGCTGGAAGAGCAAGAAACCTGGAGAGCCACCCCCATCTCTCCTGTCCCTGGCACTGCTGCTGCACTTCAGCCCCAACCCAGGAGCATCCCCTCTGGCCCTGGAGCTCCCTCTCCTTCACCACCAAATTGCTCTGGCACCCGGACTGCCCAGCCAAGATCACCCATGACCTTCCTCCGTGCCCAGGTGGAATTTAAGCACCTGAATACCTACACAGCCAAGCACTCAAAGCTACAAGGAGCTGAGCTCCTAAATAACTTCTAACTTTTGGGGTATCAAATGATTTTATATACAATAACCCCACTCATTAAATCATCATCTCCTCTTTCTCAGACAGCAGCTTCTTTCTTTCTTTCTTTCTTTCTCCTGAGCCTCGTTTTCCAAGGAAACTGCCAAGCATCCCAGCTACTGTACCCCGACAAGGAGGGTCCAAGGGCATGGAAAGGGCCCTACAAATCCCCTGGAAAGCAAATGACGGGTGGTGCACTGGAAAAAAGCCACCCTGACCCTCTTCCACTCCCAGGAATCTCAACGAGGATCAGGGAATTTGGCATCACTTGGGGAGGCAGAGAAGCTCTGGGATGGAGGCAGCCGCCAGCACCCGCTTCCCCCTCCCTATGCTCTGCTCGAACAAGTGTGACTATCACGGCAATTAGCACACATGCCAATTAACTCCGAGCAGGTGCTGGTTAACTCTGTGCTGAGTAATTCATCCCCGGCTCCCAGTAAATTGCTCCAAATTGGAGAGACAGGCGAGAGAGCAGAGTTAGCATTTTGCAAATGGGGGAAGAAAGAAAAAGCACAGAGGAATCTCAGCTGGAAGATGTTTTTACAAAACAAGGGATTTGTGGGGCTGAATCCCCAGCTCCAAGAGCTGGGGACACAGAGGAGCTGATATCTCTTTCAAGTCTTTATTTCTGGATTTTTTTTATCTATTGTACAAATTTCTGATCTGTTTCACCTACTTCAAAGTGGTTTCACCTCTGCTTTGCACAAGCAGCGGGGTGCTCTGCACTGCTCCATAACTTGTCACTTTTCCATTCCTACTGAACAGCCCCACGTTTCTCTTGGCACGAGCAGGGACATTGAGAGTCTCACATCCACTTTCTACAGCCATTTGCTATTTTTAATATACTTTTATTGCATCCCTTTTTAGTCACTCCTTACTAAAGTTAGCTCGACACACCGCCCCTCTCCAGGGCGAAGGAATTCAGCTGCCCTTCCTCAACACCCGCCTTGCAACGCCGTGTGCTCTCAGCACAATGTCAGCTGAAAGAAACCAAACCTTGGCCACGCAGCTGCAGAGGGAAGATCAAAAAGATTAATCTGAAAGCCTTAGGAAGATAAATAAAGGCAAATAAATGCATCCTTTCCAAAAATGTATTTTCCTTTGGAGCTCTTTGCTTTTCCCAGCATGTGGCACCGTGCTTCCCCAATCCACTCGTGCTTGTGCAGGAACACACAGCAGAGCCAGAGACACGAGTGACTGCAAAACTGGGATGGGTTCAACATGGCACCAGTTCGAGGGATGTTTTCCTGATCTCCATCCCCAAAACAGGTCCAGTGCAATAGGGACATCTTTGGCTGTAAGGAAATCTGCAAAAGGAGTTTCAAAGGGCATTTGGAGGCTGGGGAAAAGAAGAAAAATGCCACGCTGCAAAGATACAGCTCATCTTATGGAGGCACAGAAAGTCCCAGTTTGAAGGGAGAAATGCAGGTGACAGGTATGGCAGATCACAGCCCAACCCAGCAACTGCTCCCCCCAGGCACCCAGTGCTCTCGCTGTGGAACCAATCTTTTATCCAAGATTTGCAGAATGCTCCCCAATGAGTGTTTTTCCTTAACAGGATTCATCAAGTCAAGGTTGACAGTAAAGGGAGGGTCCTCCCCACCACTATCCACTCCCAAGGAACCTGACACGACTGAATTCACTGACTCAAGCCCCAACACATTTTGGGGGGTGTCAGGTTTATCCACATAAAGAAATGACAGCAATAACATTTCCCAGTCTGCAGCTTCTCTGTGGTAAAAAGGTCCTTGCA